AATGAGCGTCTCAGTTGCCGGCATTTGCGGCTGCGTGTTTCAAGCAAATAAATTCGAGTTCGTTGCTTAAGTCTTTTGTTTTTTTCCCATCTTTTTTTTGGAGATTTCGACTCGTTTAAGTAGCGTGTGATGTCATTTCATTTTATATTATTTAGTGTGCAACGTATTTGTCACACTCATTGTCAGCTATCTATACATAATAAGTGTGGGAGTGTAAGCAGGCATGCAGGCATGTGTGTGTGTGTGTGAGATTGTTGTTGTGCTTTATTTACTAACCCCTGAGCAGCTGTCAGCGTTGGCACCACAAAAAATAAACAACTTGTGAGCGCGAGCACAAAGTTGACGCATTGCGCGCACATTTTTAGCATTAGTTATATTCTATTTATTTACTTTTTAATCATTAATTATTGCACTCATAAGCTTTTAATATTGTATCTTAGCACATATCACATAGTACACAAAATTCGCATTCGTTTGAATTCGGGTTTTTTTTGTCTTTCCGTGTGGGCAGTCGACAATTTTGCACCGCTCGCACCGCTCGTCCCGCCACTAAGTTGGCCCAAAGCTTGATTTGGCCAGTTTTTGTTGTTGATTTTTGTTGCTTCACTTGTTCAACCAGCACCAGACGCTCGAGATTCGCGATTGCGCCAACAGCCAAGCTCACGTTTTTTTCTCTTTTTTTTATTTTTGTTTCACTTTCGTTTCGGAGCGCTTCCACCTGTTGCCCGTTCGTAAGCTTGTTTTCAACTGATTTTTCGGCTAACGCTTTCGGTTTGCATTAGCCGCAGTTCAAGCTGCCAGCTGAGCTTTGGCTGGGCCAGCAGAGCTTACAGCACGTTGGGGTTGTTGTCTTCGGTAACGCTCCAGCCTTAAACCGCGTAGGGGTTGGTCTATCTACGCTTTAATCTTAACAAAATTTAATTTTATTTAAAAAATGAGCGAATTTGCCTTATAACAAGAATTTTTTCATTTGATATATAAGTTATTGTGTAATTTTAAATTTCGTAAAATTTAAGTGTTTATTTTATTAAAAATGTAAATTCATTTTGAATCAATAGGTGTTTTTGTATTACTCTCTCGGATTCTCTCGCTCTAGCAATATTAGACAGAGCCAGCTAGCATATCTGAACTAGAGGTTTGTGTCTGTGCTAACCTCTGGACTAGCTTACAAGCGCATAAGTAAGTTAACGTGTTGCCAGACCTCAGTACAAGGTAAGAAATGTTTATTAGTACGTTAAATGCCCGCTACAGGTGTGCAAAATCTGATGTACCTGGAAAAAGTTTAGAGCACAATTAAAAAACAAAAAATTTTATTTATAAAATACTTAATTGAGTGAGTGAGTGAGTGAAAAGATGCCTGGAACGGTCTGAATTGGAACAGAAGACGTCGCTTGGCATTTACTTCGTATGCCAATTCCACTTCTATATTTCTGCAATATTCTTTATGTTACCTTTTCCCAATTACAATTAGCAATTGTTTCCTTTTTTCCAGTGCATACACTAAGCTAAATAGCAGACACACAAGTACACATACACACACAAATAAAATCGCCTCACATATTCTAACATCAATATTGCAATGCCATTTGACATTTGTTATGGCGATGGGCGCAAAACGATGCCGAATGCAAAGCAAAAGAACGGATGAACAGGGGGCAACAGGGCTGGCGACGGCAAGAGAATGAGAGCTAGTGGGGGGAAGGGGGGCGGGAGGAGCATGGAAGGGGGGACAACAGAGACCCCAATGTAACCGGTCAAACGGAGTGATTTTTATTGGCTTGTTGCTTTTTCGATTCACTGATAAATTGTTAATGTCACGCCACACACACACACACACGCAAACACACACACACACAACAGTTCACTCACACTCACACACGCTCGGAAAATGCAATGTTACAAATTTATTATTTATGTGGCGCTAAGCTTTGTGCGCATAGATGGTGCAGGGGAAAAGGGGAGGGAGGGGTGGCCGGGCAACCAACTTGACACAGGGCAAATGGTCGCTGCAGATGCCAACGAGCGAGAGAGACCAATGATAATATTTTTTGGGGCTACGAATTTTGCGCCGCATAAAATTGCATTTGATGTGTGCATAGAAAATTGCCAGCCAACAACAACAACAATAACAGCAACAACAACATCAGCAACAATTACAACAAGGGCGGGCAGGGTGGTCCTGGTGGGGATTGGCGGCCAGTGCGGCAACTTCAATAAATCAAACAGTGGTAATGCAACTGCACTCAGAAAAAAAAGGGAGAACACATCATAAATTACAAAAATTAAAAATTAATAAAAACAAATAAATATACTTAAACAAATAATATAACAAATAATATACTTAAAATTAAAATTAGTAATTTATAAAAATAAACTTGAAGAATTTAGGAAAATTTTAAAAAAGAAATAGCTTGGGTTATTCTGTTGAAATTTTGATTTATTATAACGAAATTTAGAATTTCTTGAAATAGTTGAAAACTTTTTTTTGCAGTCTATTTGCTGGCAACATGTTTACTGTTAGGCGGCTGGCAATTAATGCAGCTGCCAAAACAAGCAAACGACCCTAGTGCAATTCGCACTTTAATTAATTAGACATTCATTTTCAGCAGTAACAACAACTGCAGCAGTAAGAGCAGCAGCAGCAACTGGCACAGCAGCCCCTGAGGCAGCCAACCCCCCGAACTGGCCATCAATTTAGCTATCCACCTGTCTGTCTGTCTGCCTGTCTGTATATGTGTGTGTGTGTGTGTGTGTGTGTGTGTTCATTTGTCCGCCTGTCTGTCTGTTTGTCGCTTTGTAATGTGCACCGGAGTTTGTCCCCTTTGGAATAAGGCAACGGCTTCAACGTCGACGTCGACGTCGGCATTGGTGGCGGCCATTATGCTTCGCAGGCGTAATAAATTAGCACAAACATGCCACTAAAATGGCACGCCCACCGACGCCCCAACGGCGCTGACCTGTACTGTAAAATGCTGTCAATGCAGTTCACATGCCAATGCAATTCCATTTTCGATGCAACAGCAACAGCACCTCCGGGATTTCAACTGGGATTTGCGCACAATGTGTTTAGTGGCAAACAACTCCACATAGACGAGCCTCAACGATGATGAGAACAAGCTGAAGCCCAAGCCCCCAGCCCAATGTCCATTCACGCGCCAATCGCAATTCTAAACTCAGCCTCCAGCCAAGCAAATGAAATGTGGCTATACAAAGCCAACTTACTTAACTGCAGAAGACTCTTGTACTCGATCAGTGTTGCATGGTAATAAAACAGTATTTAAAAGTGTTGTGATGCGAAAAGCAAAATTGTAGCGCTTAAGGATCTGGAGATTAAGCTGAGCAAAAATCATATTGGGTTTGTTTTCAATCCGAAGCGAATGTTAAGTTTAGGAATTTAGCGATAAAATATATGTTTGAGTATTTTTAAGAAATTAAAGAATTGTCCGGAAAAAAAGAGTATTTAAGGAGAGACGTTCAAGTTCCAGCTCTATTAAAAAACCTTGTGACAAGTCAAACAATATGGCAACACAGGCCCGGGGCATTAATTGTTGTCTGAACTTAAAGCTGAAAGGCAAGGCGAAGCGGGATGCAGCATCCAATGTTGCACTCTCAAGGAGTGCGAGAGAGAGGAAGAGCGCCGGGAGAGAGAAAGAGCAAGAGAAAAAGGGAGTGGAGAGCGACTCACAACTTTATCATCGACTTCGATTGGTGGCGTGGTAGATGGGCAGATGTGGCATGTGGCATGTGGCATGTGGCATGTTCGGCTCATGCCAGCAGATAGCTACGCCTGCATTCTCTCTCTCTCTCTCTCTCTCCCTCTCTCTCCCAGTGCATTTTTCTTTTTATTTTCCTTTTTTCCCCTCTTTGTTGCTTGCGCACTTTTCATCTTGGCACTGCATACGAAATTTATGGGTTTTATTATGTGATTTATGCAATGCGCGCTGTCCGCGACGGGGCACGCAATGCGCGGCGCAGCGCGGCGTGCGGATTTTTACGCCGGAAATGTGCCCATCGACTGCGTGTTAAGTCTCGCACACACACACGCACCGACGCACACACACTGGCGGGGTCGCGGGTGCATAAGTGTTTTTTATTATTGCCCGCCAGTTTTTATTGCGACTGCTGCGCTCGTGTTTTACTTATTTAATTTCTCAGCTGCTATCGGCCGAGCCCGGCATTGTCCTTGTCATTGGACGGGACGCAGCGCACGTGAGTGCCGGACACATTGATATTGAGCTTGGCGGGCGGCGACGTTAATGTGTGGCGCCCCTCGCCTGGCACAATGCGCGCGGGGGCAGCTACGCATTCCAGAGCCCCAATAACGGTATCTAACCGAAAACGTGCTATAAATTCCAATCAGAGTCGCCACAGTGTCGCGCATTGCGGCCCATTGTCAATCAACACGCACACACGCACACTCACACACACACACAGACACACATGCACACGCACCGCGTGCTGCGTGACGTCCCTGCGCGTATTTACATTTCCGGGCGAGTCATGCGAGCTGTTGGCATTGGGCACAGGTGCATACGTGTTACCCACAGAGCTGGCAACGGACGCGTGTTGTGAAATAAGCACGCACGGCACTTGTCGTGACTCGTGTCGGCATTAAGCTCATCAGAAAGATAGATGTCCTGAAAGGAATCAACGGGAGCAATCCAAAGTTAACCAAGAAATATAGTAATATCCAAATTCACGAAGAAGTCAACCGTCTATCCATCCATATTAATTATTCTGAAATCGATAAATGTCGATAGCATATACGCACTTTAATTGACAGATCGTGGCAAAGACCTCCGACGTCTCTAAAAGGTATTTATATTCTCTAGAAGTACATTAATATCACAATTCATGGCCGTCATTTAAGCATCTATCTGTTCATCTTTCTTGATAACTTTATCGAAATCGATAAATATCGATTGTTGTCTACATACACACTCAAATGATAGATCATCTCTGACTCCTCTATAAGGTATTCCTATTCTACTAAATCACAATTAAGATCTGTCAGTCTGTTCATTTATCGGTCTGTTTTAACAACATTTCCAAAAACGATTAATATCGATAACTATACACATACACACTCAAAAAAATAGATTACAAACGAAAAGCCTTCGTGCATTTTATGTCCATCTCTAATGTCGCCCACTCGCATACGCACGCCAACCACATGCCGGTTCGAATTGCACATGTTATGGTCGCTTCCGTTGCCTTCTTCTGTTTTTTTTTTGTCGCCGCGGTTCAAACCTTCAATTTAAAGCGCCGAAAATAAAAGTAAATTTATTGCAGTTTTGCAATTATTGCAAAGCAAAGCCAAAACCGGCCTATGGAGCTTGACATTGGCCCGAGGCCGAGGCTGAGGCCAGGACTGGGCCTGTTTCACGCCTCGCTAACTTGTCGTCTGCTGGGGTTGGATGACGGGGGAAGTGGGCGATAGCCAGCGGGGGCCTAAAAGAAATTTCATTTTTATTGTGCTCGACACTTAACTTTATTAATTTTCCAACCCATGACGAGTGCTGCCTTCGCCCCGTATGGTCTGTAGGGGACTAAGGGGAGCTAAGTGGGAGAGGGGGCTGTAGGGGTGGTTGGCTGTGGCGGCAGTTGTTGCTTTAGTAATCCATTACCGCAGGTGCCGTAAAAATGCTTAGTTTACGATATGCGATTAACGCGAAACAAGTGCGCCATAAAATTGCCGCCCGTTCAGCTGGCTTTTGTTTTGGCAACGGATTCCAGCACGTTTCTCGCCTTCTATTGCTTATCGACAAGATTAAAGGGTGGCCCACCCCCGCTCTCCCCACTGCACATTCGATTAATTTCAATAAAACGAAAATTTCAGGAGCCATTGGCGCTGTTTGTGTCATCAAATGCTTTCGTAACAGTTGACAATATGTTTGCCTACTACAAATAGGTCGAAATAAGCATAAAGTGCGTAAATAAAGTTCATTTTATGAGAGCTAAACTTAAATTGTTGTCAAAGTTTTAATGAAAGTCAGTTTGTGCCTTGATGCCTTGATGAGGTATTCGAAGTGAATTTCGAAGTGAGCCGTAGGTTACAATTAAACTATTATCTTAACCAATTCCGCCTCTCCTTAAGTTTTTCCGTATCTTGATACAAAAGGCCTGAAGAAATATAAAAAGCGTTTGTTAAATATATTATTTTCTACCCTGTTTCGATAAATTGGATTCAAAAAGGGTACATACCAGTTGTACAAGTGAATGTAACAGATATTAATGAATGAATGCTCAGACTCAACAGCGCGAACATTCCGAATTATTTCTGATTTTAAAATGCTCTGGAGCTGAGTGGAATTTTTTGGAACAACAACTGGAGTCCCGAAAAGTTTTTGTTATTTTTTTAAAGTAATTCTGTGCAGCTCTCGGTTGTTTTGAGGAATGCCCATACCTTCGCGCAGCTCTATGCATACGGCGCCCAGAAATTAGGCAGGCAAATTATGCAAAAAGCATAAGTGCAAAAAGCGGACACTTAATCACTCAACTTCCTGCCGGAAAAGTCAGGCAGCAGGCAGGCTGGCTGGCTGGCTGGCAGGCAGGCAGGCAGCAGGCACCGTCGAAAGAAATTAAAGTGAAGTATGCCCAAAACTTTGGCTGCCTTTCAAATGGTGCTCCGGTGTCAGGAGGCAGATCCGGAGACCGGGCCAAACTAGACGATGCGTCGTCGTCGTCGTTGCGCTTCGAAAGCACATAAATTTTAATAATTTATCCCATATTATTCCACTTAAGTCGTTTAGATTTTCATAATAAATTAATAACGACAAACGCTGCGACGTCTTTGGCGACCTTGTGGGTCTGCCTGGTCTGGCTGGACAAACAAGGAGCGCCAGGCAGCCAACAGCAGCCAGCAGCCAGGAATCCAGTCCCCTCGCCAGTGGCGGCTGGCATCAATTGGCAAGGCGCAAAAGTCCGATGGGGGCGACTCTTATTACTAGAGACAAGCGCGTGTCGTGTTTTCGTTTCGTGTTCAACAAGCGAATGTCGTGCGTGTTTTTTTTTAACAGGAAACCTTCACAGGAAAACTTTAATAAGATTAAAATAATCTTGATTTCCTGGCTGCAAGTTGAATCGGATACGAACCATAAAACTTATCAGAGGACCCAAACAATGGGCAACTATATATGCATAAACAAAAAGCGAAAAACGTATTTGCTGTCTTCTGTCATCTCTGGAGTTCAAACCTTAAATATTATTTATTATGTTATCCACATTTATTTAAATATTAAAATGGACACTGGCTTTTCCGTGCCCATTTGCATTGTGCTTCGTGTTCGTGTTCGTAATGTGATACGCGCCCATCTCTAATGGGTAGGCTCAATCTACAGCTAAGTTTCCTGCAACTGCTACTGATGATGATGATGGTGATGATGGGGAGCGACACAATGTCGGAAGCGCCGTCGATTGGGTTAGTGGATAGCTAGATGGGGGTGGGAGTGAGGGAGTGAGGCCTGTTCTGGGAGGGTCTTCTAGCAGCAAAAGGGCCGAACGGATGTGCGTGGCTGTTACGTGCGCACTGCTGGGCGGCTGCTTTTGTGGCTTATTTATACGCTTAATTTGCGCCACAATTTTATTTACAAATTGTTGCCAAAACGCCAAAAGTTGCGCCTTGCGGCCGGCAACTGAGATTTGCGGCATTTCGGTTAATGTTTATGTGAGACAAAAGCGGAAATTTATTGTGTTGCACGCACACTCGAAGGGGGATGGTGCCGGGTGGTTTTCGGTGGCAACTTGGGAGCTGTGCGGCAATTTATTGACGCGCACCAGCCACATACACGCACACACACACAACCGAGTGGGCAAGTCGTAGCGGGCAATTGGCTAAAACGCCTCGCTGATTAGCTTTGGTCTGCCTCAGCTCTCCCTCTGCGTTACTCTCTCTCTCTCTCTCTTAAAGTGCCTACAGTTAATGCAAGCTCTGTTAACAGCTCGTCAAATACAATTTGCCAAGAAGCACACTTAACCACAGCCACACGCACACACACACTCATACTCACAGGACACACTTGACCACACGACCAGTCGGCCACAGGAGTCTCAGCCATGCAGCTTGCAGCCAGGCTGTTTATCAAATTTTGCAGTCATCGATGCTGATGCGGCAAAGCCAACAACAAAAAGACCGCAATCATGAAACGTTTTATTATAATATATGTGTGCCAGTCTGAACAACCATGCCCACCTGCCCAACCTGCCCACTGTACGTCCACTTGCATATTTGCAGCATTTTCCAACATTTTTCAGCAGCAGACGAATGGGTTGCGTTCACTCGAAGCCTCGAACTTGACATGACTTGACCAGCTCTCAGCCAGCCTGGCTTCACTTCGTCTGTTACAGTTTTGACAGGCGGCAGCTACTGTGCACTGTGGACCAAATATATCAATTTACTGGCAGAAATATATTTTTGCGAAGGTGAGAAGGCGTTTAATACAATAGGTATCTTTTGACTCAGGTAATATCGTTACCTATTTTATCTATATACATTCCAGAATATAAGAATGCGTGTGCCCCCATCCATCGATGAAAGCGAATCGTTCTCGGAAACTACAAAGGCTAGGTACTTAAAATCTGAAGAGTAAGTGCACTTTTAACCATACCTACATAAGATTCATAATTTTTTTTCATGTCTTCTCTCATTTTCTTAGTATCTTAAAAAAAACTCGAGAATTATAGGAGCTAGATGATCCAAAGTTGGTATGTGGGTTCTTGTTTAGCTTACATAAATTAGGCATATTTCACTTTTTATACCCCATTGTAAAAACCTGGTAGAGTTTTGATAGAGTTTTGAAGAATCCCAAATTGCCCCAAACATCAGTTCGATGGTGAGTTTCGGGTATCTGCTAGTCGAGCATTCCTGTCTTAAATCAAACCACAAAGTAAGCATAAATGAAAAATTTGCATTTTGTGCATTTCATGCCACTGTGCAGGGGGCTTGTATTACCTTGCCCCGTACGTTTTTTTAGCTGCCCGGCAAATTGTATTCTTTGTTTTTTGTACCGTTTCTCTTAACGTACCTGTGATAAAGCTATCGAAGCTGTCATTATAGATTTGCCATGATCGAATGGCTCACAAGAGCTGCCGATGGCTCTGTATATGTATTGTGCATATGTATGTGTGTGTGTGTGTGTCTATGTGTGTGCAGCCTTTATTGTGTGTACTTAAGTTGTGAGTCACTTAATATTGTGGCTTGTATATGTATTTCATTACGTGCTTTTCACGTGTTCATTTTCCAAATTTCAATGGCTTTGGCTTCTGCTATCTGTGCCTGCAACTGCAGCTGCGCGCATGTGTGTGTGTGTGCGTGTGTGTGCGTGTGTGTGTGTGTTGGTTTCTAGTACCATTGAGTTGATTGATGTTTGATGCACTCAACCACAACGACATGCAGCTAACCGCAACGCTGCTGCTGCTGCTGCGGCTTTAGGAACTGCTGTTTGGTCTCAATCTTCCTTGTCACCACCTCTCCAATGCCCACATGCCGCCTACCTGCCACCTACCTGCTACCGTTGTGAATTTCTATAGCATACTTTTTAGAGTACAGCTGTCAGCCCAGCAAAGGAATTCAAAAGGCTTCTGCTTGTTGTATGCGTATTTCTGAGTATCCGATGCGTCAATTGCGACTTCCCCATCGATGAAATGAAAAATGAAAGTGATCTCACGACTAACAGACACCCTGTAACTAGCAAAAATCTGTCCTAGCATACATTGGAACGTACTTTAAGTCACACAAGCCAATAAAAGCAACATTTGAGAAATTCAATCTTATAGAGCTTCAGAACTATTATATATATTTATATATATACCCGAGAACCCCTCGGCCTGTAGCACACACTTAAGCATGTATATACCATTGCTCAAACATTTTCTAATGGGCATGGAGTTATAAAAAATAAACAGAAAATAAGCAACAGTTCGCGCTTTTAGCCATGAATTACAACGATTTCGTATGCAGTAATCTGACCGCACATAAATTTTGTGACCAGTTTTTCGCCATATAAATACATATAAACACACATATATTCAGATATATTCACACGTAATACCTTATACCCTAGACTAGCTGCACCACAACGACTAAGTCTGGGCAGAGTGTGTGCGTGCGTGGACTATAATAAATGTGCAAACACGTTTTGATTTACGCTCAGCGACTCTGCGTTTTAATTATATTTTAATAAATTAAATATTTATAATAAAAATGCAGCAATAAATAAATTGAGTAAATATGTACACAAATCCCATCAACAACAACAAAATCAATAAATAAAAAAGCAACCACAATGAAAAGTACTTAAAAAGAGGCGCGCACTTAATACACTTTTGAAGGGAGTATCGTTTAGTCTGAGCGTCGAACTAATAAGCGTGAAGTCGCCGGTTCAAATCTAGCAGCATTTTTAATTAGCATTTTTTAAAATTAATAGTCTATTTCTTAAGAAAAATGCAATCTCTGCTAATCAAGAAAAAGTCTTTGAGCGTCGAACTAACCAGCGTGAGGTCGCCGGTTCAAATCTATGAACAGTTTTAATTTCTTGTTGGTTTTTCATATATATTTTTGTTATGCATAAAAATGTAATCACAGTTAATTAAAAATAAAATCAAATATTAAATATTTGAACTTGAGAGAAAAAAAAACCTATAGAAATCAAATTTCTATTGCGTGTCCAGCCGAATCGGTAGCTGCCGATTATTGTTAATTAAATACATAAAAAATTGCTTAAAAAATCGATTATGATAATTTATAATGCCACTTCAGATGCAATGGATCGAATTAAATAAATACTAGTCATCATTGTTGCCCGGCAACAAAGGCAAATCAATCGCAACAGCTTAAAAAGTTTACCTATTTTTTTTGTGTATCGTCAAGCGATTTTTAATGCGAACGCTTTGGTATATTTATGTCAGGCATAAAACATGGATTTTATTGCCTCGAATAGCGAAACTACAA